ACGTGGTCCAAGGTTATGCTGTAATATACATAAAAATTAAACAAACAAAAAATAAAATATTTGGTTAAAAACTATATACATAAATCAATGTTGCAAACTTTCTGCAAAATTCGCGAAAAGTCAGCAAAAATCATCAAAATTTCAAACTTATTATTCGGCTAGGAATTACCGTTGATTAAAAAAAAACTCCAGGGTTACGGACGCGACATTCGTACGAATTTAGAGTTAATTAAATCATACGGAAACTGAAGTCACTTGAAAAAAATTTGCCGTTATATAGCTTTTATAACGTTCTTTAGTTGACAAAAAATTAGGTGCGCTTGCAACACTGACGTCGAAAAAATCGATGAAAAGGAGGACGCGACAAAAACAGAAGTGATTCCAGAGTACATATAAAAATAAAGCAAAACTCAGCGAATCGTGTAAGGTTTCCCTTTATTAAACCTTCTTTAAATAAAATCAAATTATGGACCGTTACAACCAATTCAATTTTAATCAGAAGCATTTCGTTGTTGATTTAATTTTGAATTAAAATCTTGTAACGGACGTGACAGGTTTTTTCCCATACAATATTTTTTTGCTAGTAACACATACTAAATTTAATTTTCTATTAAATTTTTTCAGTCCTTCTCTCCTTTTTTCGCCATCTGAATACGAAATTTGAAGTTATAAAGCCGTTTGAATTCATTCATTTGTATTTTCGGTTTACCTTTTTTGAAAAATTCCCATATGGAAGAAAATGGAAAATTTTGAAAAATCAACGGGCCATTTAAACTTGCACTTTATTTGCTGAAATTGAGTGTGCTAGAAAGCTGTATACAGTGAAAACTCCCTTGGGCGGACACCCACCGTCAGTCATTTTTTGTCCGCCCAAGAGAGGTGTCCGCTCAATGGGGGGAAGCTTAGTTTAGAACTTATTAATGTTTTAATTAATTGAATAGTGCCTATTTCTTACTTGAATAAAATATATTGATATTGCATCGTTCAAACAAAAATGTGCATCTATTTTTTCAAAAGTGCATATTTCATTTATGTGCGTAAGTACATATTAAGTAGTAACAAAATAAAAATAAATATTACATTTCAGTCCATAAACTACATAAAACCATATATTCATTACATGAAAAACTGGAAAATTTTCGATTGACGTAAGTTTCATTTAGAATTTGTTTCAGTGCCAGTACCTTTTTCATCAATAGTTTCATGTTTTTAGCAGTAACAAAATCAAACCAGAAATCTAAATTTTCGATCCATGTATTTATTATTATCTATTGTTATAAATTCATCAGAATTGGAATTGGATTCTCCAAGGGTTTCTGATAATTCAAATAACGAACCTAAACCACTGCGCAAACCAAACTAAATGTGTGCATAAAAATCACATTTTATGCGGGAAGTCCCCCTTTTCCATTTAGTAATCCGCATATGAGGAGTTCGCGTCCGCTCAACGGAGGTTTTTGTTTGATTTGTTATGAAAAGAAATCTTAATGTCCGTTGATAAGAGGTTCGCGTTCGCTCAATAGAGGTTTTTCTGTGGATTTTATGCAAAATAACTGTCCGCGTCCGGCCAAGAGAGTGTCCGCTTAAGAGAGAGTAATTTGTTCCGAAATTTATACTTAAAACTTGGTATAGGAAAAAATGTCCGCCCAAGAGAGATGTCCGTCTAATAGAGGTGTCCGTTAGGAGAGGTTTCACTGTACTCAGAAATATCTGATTAAAATTTTGATGGGCATTTTCCGAAATTCGCTGAATTTTTGTAGAAAGTTTGCAACATTGGTTTATGTGGCTTTAGTTAAAAACTGGGCTTTATTTAAAATAAAAATTAACGAAAACGATTTATAATTGAAGCCGTTTTAAACATCGTAGAAAAAAACCTACGAATACTTCTGTGAGTAACTGTATGTAGGAACTGATATTTTTCTTCATTTCTTTGCTCTTGTGTTGCAAGCATGTAGTTTTCACCCTCCGACTAATTGTGGAAGGGTCTAATAAAAATGTTTGCACACAAATATATGGGTGTAAGTGTGTACCACTTGAGACCATAGCTCATTGCTACTATACATCTATATATACATATGTACGTATTCCCGATTATGCAGTAAAGGAGTGCAATAAATTTGCTGCCAACAACACGTTCGACTTTATGATTTAAAATTTCGTTAACAAATTTGGCTAATAAAAGAACGAAATTGTTGAGAAACTTGTACTAAGGTGCGTCATAAACAAGCGTATAATAAAAACAAATCGTAAAAGAATAGTGCAGCACAATAACTAAAAATATGTAGAAGGGCAACAGCACCAACAAGGCATGATGAGACGAGAGAAAAAATAATAACGAGTGGAGCTACTTGAAAAGGTGCACCATGCTCTATAAGAAATAATGAAGAGGTAAGCAGATATGTATGTATGTGGCAATACCTGTAAGCTTAGGTAGCAAAAACTTCAATGCTGGTTGCTCCCATATTTGTGTAAATGGAAATCTACATTTTCGGAGGAAGAAAAGGACAGGACGCAGCATCTTAAGGCTTCTTCTATGATCGCTTACACGGGGAAAATGTGAGCTATGGGGACAAGAAGATTATCTCTATGAAAAGTTTCTAGGCTAAGGAGTAAAACAGGCGAAAAAAACGAAGAAACTCATTAAGGATTCCTTACTGATTTTATGTGAAAATTCTTTTGGATTTTAGTTGTAAGAATATTCCTAAAAAATCATAGAGAAAATCTGCTTAATTTTATTCGATGCCTTCTTGAACAAATTTAAAAATTCATATTATTAAATAGAATAGTGTCGGTGAACTGCCGAAACTAAGAAGGTTTTCTTCTTGGAAAAGCCTGTGGAGCTATCTTCTAATTTTTGGGTTCTATTTCATAAAGTGGTTTTCGCTCTGTGTACGAATGCTGCCTCAGTCACCAAATTACAATTGGAAAGGAAAGTATCTTCGTCCTTCTTCTTCGTCATTTCCTTAAATACCAAGCGAGACAGAGCGAATCTACTACTCCTGCGCGCCATCTGGTTCTGTTCTGGCAATCGCTTTGAGCTCCTACCAGCTTAAGCCGAATAGCTTCGCCTTTCGATCGATTGTTTTTCTCCACGTTTCGCGGGTCTGCCGGGAGTGTGCCGCAGCTTAACATTTCTGAGCAGCTCCTCATTTGAGATTGGTTTAGGCCAAAGAAGTCAGATATTTTAAGGCATATGTTTCTGAAAACTTGCAAGCATCTGATTATTGCAGCAGTGACAGTAGGAAAAGCCAAATTTTTTGAGCTGGAACTCAGAATGTTGTTTCGCCATAACGTGTTTATGTATCATAACAAAGGCCGCTTCTTTCTTTGCTTATTCTGCGGTTGCCACGTGTTGATTTTTAATTTATTTTTTTTTTTTATATTAGTAATATTTTTCGAGCTAAATTTTTTTTTTTATTATTTTTCTATAAAAAAAATACGGTACGAGCTTTAACCAAAACCATATAAAAGCGTTATACAAAATTTAGGAAAATTCAACAAATTTTCATCAAAATTTAAACTTTTAAATCAAAAAAAAAAAAAATTTTATTCAACGGGATTTTTTGCCGTTCATTATACTAATAAAGGCTAATAAAACTCACACCCAACAAATTTTCTAAAAACTCAGATTTAAAATTGAAATTGTGGTGAAAATTCGTTCAGTTTTTTAACATTTTTTATGAAGTTTAAAGCTATGATTAATATGGCATAGAATCTTCGCTGCCATTCTGTAAAGTATGAACATTCATATGTACATATGTACATAAATATACATGTTCCTTCGTTTTAAGATCAATAGCTTAGCGCTCTACATATGTGCAGATTTAATTTGCTGCACTTCTTTTGCCAACAGAAAAAGATGAATGGCTGAGTGCGTGGCAATGCGCCAAGAGGTACATTCGCTTGTTGCGACTGATTGTTTGTGGCTTTTTACGACAATCGCCATGGCAAGGTTACTTGGGGTGCGATTCATTTGTCTGCAGCCGCAGGCGAACGTACAACAGACACCGGCGAAGTTAGTTTGCCTGATGGCTTGCGTCAATGTTTTTACGATCCCCGCAGACATTGTTTTATTGTCATGTTTGAACTGTTTCGCGTATTTTGCCCTTTGCGTTGAGCTCAAAAAATGCGCGCTCCAAAACATTTTCCAGCATCGTCCAAACCTTAGATATTTATATAGGTACGGTAAATATCAGTGAAAATCGTACACTATTTTTGGAAATATTTTGTTTTGTTTTAATTGTATTAATGTGTAACACTGCAACGAAATCCATAAAACTAAAAGTCTCAAACCTTGTAACAATTAAAAGAGAAACGTAAAATTTTCATCGAAATTCTATACTTTTTATTCAGATTTTTTTTTCGATATGCAGTTGCTACAAAGTACCGTTGATTTTTGTAAATTTCATTTTCATTTTCTACCATATAAAAATAGATTTTGTTAATGCGTAGCCAAAAACATTAACAAAAACATAACGTAGTTTACATTAACTAAACATTCTCAATGAAAAGTGTGATTTTGATGACAATTTTACGATTTTTTTATATTTCTACACGTTGAAACGTTGAGTTTTATGGATTTTGTTTTACTGTGAAGTATGTTTTTCTTAAAAATAAATACAATTTAAATAAAACAAAATATTAAAAAATGGAAAAAATTTGCTGTACGATTTTCATTGACACTCACTGTATGTACTTTTATATGCGGAAAGTTTTTGTTGAATTGTTATTCCATTTGTTTAGTGATTTTTTATTTCGTATTTCTCATCCAACCTAACTTTTTCGTTCTATGTACTCCAATATGATGACGCTCACACACTCCTGCATTTGCCAATCAACATAACCCGTAACAAACATGGATCGATTTGCGTTTTTTTTTCTGTTTTCAACCAACCATTCGCCCAACCCATCAACCAACCAACCAAACAACCAACCAACCAACCAACCAACCAACCAAATTATAAAATCAACCAACTTGCCAAATTGTCCACCGCATCCAGCAATCGTTCCGAGAAGCAGCCATCAGCAAAGGATGCCCTCTCCTTGGGCCGCATACCGCCAGCGTTCACACGTGTCCCATCCAAACGACAGCCAAGACGCGTGATTGATGACTTTCTAAGCGGCAGCAGGAGCGCCAACAACGCCCTGAATGGCATCGGTGTCGGTCATACGGGCAGCAGCGTTACCGATGGCGGTGGTGGCGGCGGCGTTAGCGTTGGCAGTTATTACAATGGCGGTGGCGTCGGAGCGGGATTGCAAACGGCCAGCATGATGCCAAAGTAAGTTCGTCCTATGCACAAGAGCACTCACACACACTGGCATGCAGTCGTCTACATACATATGTACATGCCTATTATTTATATATGCATACATATATCATATCTAAGGTCATACTTTTATATGTATGTATGTGTGGTTATTTTCGGTACTTTTAGCTGTTTCAAAACATTTTTATTTTATTTATTTACTTTGTAACTTTTTTGTCAGTTTCTATTGAATTTCAGCATTCCCTTTGACTAATTTCCGGTGGAGGCGCTCTAGGAGAAATTTCAGCAGCATAATTCCTTTAGTTTTTCCTTGTCCACGCTAACCACTAATAAAATAGTAGGTAGGTTTGATTTATTTTTCGCCGCCGCCAAGTGTGATTTCGATGCGGTTTTGATTTTACGCTTTTTTAGCAGCCCACTCTCTTCTCCCACAATCCTCCTTCTGTACAAGCTGGCTGATTTTGCTGCCAACTAATGGTGGCACATTTGTCATGCAGGCTATCCCAGTCGATCCCGGATCCTATGCGCCATTGTATGTGCGATACAAATTGTTTCGTTTATTTGGGCCCTCATGTTTTTTGCCTTTTCATTAGCGAAGAAATCAAGTGCAGTTCTTGACTTTCGATACGTTTTCATTGCGAAGAGAACAACAAGAAGAAATACACGTACGCTACACATATGAACTATTGCCAAAAAAAAAAAAAGAATTCGGGAGTAAGAAGCAAATATTGTGCAACTAAGTGGGTTTTTTCTTTGCTCTAATGGCTTGGCTTATGCTTTTTCCTTCATGTACAGTAGGGCGGGTCGAAAATTTAATTTCTCTCAAATGCCTTGGAAGTAGTAAAAATATATTATATATATGAGGTCAAAAACAATGCACACTGGTCGAATAAGAGAGATTCTTGTTAAAAATTCATGGTTCAACGCAACGCAATGGACAAAGTCAAATATCATTTCAGGCAGACCTTTAATTTATGATCACTCTCAAACTAACTTTTGACTAACTCAACTAACTTTTCAACTAATTAATTTGTAATTGTTTTGTTCGTGATTGCACTCTTCTATAGTCAAAGTATATAAAGATTAGCATTCATATTTTTGGGCTGTATTCAGGTCGTTGATTCCAAATATACTTATCTTTTTTTTCATACCACCTATAGATAGTTTGCGAATTTTAGCAAATTTTGGAACAATTTCGGCAGCTAAAATATGAAAGCTTTTATTCCCCATAACCGTGGAAAATTTTCAATAAAACAAATGAATTTGGAAACACTGAGATAGAGAAGCACTAATTAGTTTTCTTATGTTTATGCATAAAAGACAAAAATTGTAAATAAACTAAGTTGAAAGGAATTTTTGTTCAAAAATTTCAGTTTTTTTTTAAATAATTTTTTTATAATCTGAACGATTTTCATCATATAATATATTATCATCATAATTCAACAACAGTAAGTCTCGCTTTCAATTAGATAACTTTTACGTTTTAATCGAGCATATTTTCAAGCCTAATGCAGAGCCATATTTTCCAATTGGAATATTTTAATTTATTTTTACCTCCAGTCACTTTTTCACATAATGGAATTAAATGACTAATGAAACTATTCCGCTCAGTTTTGAAGAATGCACAAATGTTCTTAAAACGGGCGTTACTCAACCTAATATTAGTTAGGTAATGTACATATGTACAAATGTGTTTAAATCTACTACTATTTAATTATTACCCGATTCGTAATCGTGGGCAAGCCTTACCACGATTTTGAAAACTGGCCTGTTTTAACAAAAATTACATTAATGCCGACCATAGCTTTGAATGAGGAAGCACACACTTAAGGTACCCACACACCGATGCGATTCTGCCGGAACGAATCCGCACCGTTTTTGATGCCACAGAAGTAACTGCTTCGAAAATATGTATGAATGTGGTAGAAGCGGAAAAATTATAAAAATTAGTCTAAATTTCAGATTTATTCCAAAAATTTTCCACATATTTTCCACTTATCTACCACGTGCTCACAAAACTTATTATTTCCTAAAATAGTACATATATTCTTCTTTGTAAAGCCGTACAAATATTTAAAATTTGTTAAAAATTAACCGAACTAAAAATTCTTTAGTGCCGAAAGTAGTGCGAAAATAGTTTTTTGAGAATAAGTTGAGAATTTAAGGGTGTTAGAAAAATTTTGAAAACAGTTTCGTGTATTTGTCGGCCAGCTCTACGACCTGTGCTAGGCCACTTAAAAAGTACGTGCAATTTTTTTTTTTTATTTTGTAATGCCTTTTGTTTTCCACCCATATAAAGTTGACCCAGCCTAATGTATGTACAGTGAATGCTCAACAATCCCGAATCGCTTCAAAAATCCATTCAAATTCAATTAAAGACAATTGCTTCGTCTAGACATTTGGAAAGTATTGTTTAGTGCGAGTAATTTATCAAAGACCAATGTGAATTTTCATTAGCGTAAAAAGTGCTGCTCTAAAATATATCACTTGAGGTTGACCGAAGTTGTTTCAATACACCTAGCAACAGAAATGCATCGAGATTTAATTTATTTGTGAAGTCCGCTATTATTTAAGTTCATTTAGTCTAACAGATGACAATAGCGCTGAAGATGGCACAACGCCGAAACTGATGTGCCTCCAAACCAAACTTGACAACGAATGACGGGAATTTGTTTCGAAAATTTGTCGAACTAATATTCGGTGAGCAACTCAAGATTTCTTTATCACTTCAATGTGGAACACCATCTTTTATGGAAGTACATATCGTCAACAGACATGAGTATAGTCGCGAGTCAAGAGTTGACCTTGAAAAAAAGACGCATAAAAAACTTCAGCGAAGAAAGGCGTCTAAACCTAGTCGACGGCGAAGAAAGACGCGTAAACTTATATTCCCGGTCAACTATGTTTGCGGGTGTAATTGTATGTACATTCCCCAAAAAGCTTTGGGGAATAATGCTGAAAAGACAGTCCTTGGCTAGGTATAAATCTATGTTTGCGTGTCTTTCTTCGCCGAAGTTGTTTTTACGCGTCTTTTTTCCTCAGTGCGTATTTTATTCATGTCTAGTGGCGATATACATATGTACATAGGTATATTCCTATGTATTTATTCCAGAAACCTGAAAAAACGAAATTTTTTGTTATCAATTGCATTCATACTTATCGAAAAATTTGTTAGTGATATTTGAACCCGCCTCCAACTCCAACTCTAACATATGGGGTGATGGGCGCAATTTATTTCTTACCATCATTTCATCTCATCTTGTTGGACGCTATAGCCGCCTAAGGGCCATTTTCTCAAGTAACCTGTAACTTTAAAGCTCACTTTATATTTAAAGGTTGCATTAAAATTTATGTCTAAAGCAAAGCATTTAATTATCGGCTTTATATTGGTTTACAACCAAGAAACATACATACGTCATAAACCGATATTAGAAATGCTTAACTTTAGGCATAGCTTTAATTTTAATCCAACCTTTAAATATAAAGTGAGCTTTAAATTAAAAGATGTTTTCAGAGAACGGCCCTAAGCGACTTTAGCCCAAGTCCAATAAAGCACGCCAATCGTTTCTATGCTCTACCAACTGACGGCAATTGCAAATGCTACCTACCAACAGTGACATGTGTTCTGGGAAAAAGTAAAGTCGGAATTTTTATGCTCTGACTCCCTAGTATTGCTCTATACGGAAAAAGACATACCCCAATTTTTATTTTTTTTTTAAATCAAGAAATATTTAGAGGTCGCTCAAAGCGCTTAAAGTTTCCAGTTTATATGGGCACGCAGAAACGGTATAGAATGCTTGAAAATCAATACTTTTCAATTTGAAGATGAAAACCAAAGACGATATCTACCAGCCAATTGAAAAGTAGTATGTCAATTCATTTATTTAGCTTTCGGTGCTAATATTGCACCCTCATCAGAATAATAAAAAATCTGTGCTAATATATATATGTGTGTTTAACGCAAATTGAACTGCGGCATCATGGATTGTCCATCTTATTATACACACATATATGTATCAGCAACTTGGTCAATTTGGCGGTATGTTTACCCTGTTTCTTATTGGAGTAGCACGTAATAATTGCAAAAGATGGACAATCCAGGGTGCCGCAGTTCAATTTATATATATTTATTGGACATCGCACGAATATATATAATTATTATGGCTAGATCATCTGCCTAGGTACTCTGCCTCAACGATAGCATCATAAACTAATCATTAGTAAAAGTATTAAATTTTTCGAAAATGCATTCATATTGTTACCGTCCTAAGTATAAGATAAAATATTTAAATGCATCTAAGAAAACATTTTCACTGGTTTAGATGCTGATTGCATCAATCACCATTAAGTTGCATGCCATGACCTACACACCCGAGGGCAATTACTCAATTTGTCAGAGCGTGGCGAATGCGTAGCCCAACGCTTAACCATCGAAATCATGCGAAATCCCCACAAAATATACAAATCAATATTTATTGCACAACGCGCCTCGTATGTGTGTATAAGTATGCACATGTGTTCACGCTTGCGCGCACACGCCCACTCACGTGCGCTTCAAGTTCCTGCGTGACGTGTGTAATCAGCCGTTCCTATGGACAGACAGACGTACATATATATATGCGCATATTTTTCCATGTGTCTGCGCTGTGAAGGTGGCGCATACGCGCAACAATTTTAATATGCAGCAATTTATTTTACACCTCAATTACATATGTGTGTATGTATGTGTACGACTGCGAAGATCTACACTGATCTCCAATGTTCGCGCACAGGTAGACGAATATTTACATACATATGTATGTATGTACGAGTCCATGCAAAAATATTTTCTTTGCGGTAACGTTTTCGAATTCTACGGTGTCTTACTAACCACTCACTGCTTAAATTGCTTTGTGATATTCATTTACCTTATTACTTTC